CTTCTCTTTGGATAATTCAAAGGCGTCTAATATATATCTACAGTACATATTTAGAGCAAATTTGCGCATTTTTGTAATATTTGTAATATTGCAACATAAGGTAGTATGCAATATTTTTGAAGCTAGTACAATCTTTCAAGCGTTTCGTTTTGGGTTTCAAATGAGCGAGCTGGCGAACCTTTTGTTGGACAGCAGCGGTGCAGAATTTCACCATTGGAAGGCAAACCAACACATTCATGCGTCGAAGGACAACGATGGGAGACTGAGCACTCCACTGGCCTATTCGATTTTTCTTCAGTTAATGGTGCTGCTCCATTCGCACATCCTAAATTGACTAGTTGAACTCTTGCTGTGATCACGCTCTTGCATAGCGCAAGAAAAAGATGAATCTGCGCTGCAGTAAAGAGAAATTGTTTATCATTTGATTTCAATGTATCACTATGTTATCATCCGCTGGTTTTATATTACGCAGCTGTTCGAAGACGCTTTTGGATAAACGCAAAAATGAGGACCAGGAGGGTTAGGTACGAAATAATCGAACGGATGGAAATTGTGAAATCTATATTTTGAGATCTAAAGGTGGCTATTTTTGTGAGATGGCACGATTTGCAAGACTCCTAATGGCGAGAAACCTAAAGTAAACAGCTAAAGTCGTTATCCATCGCTATACAGAACGTGCACGATTCGTTTGGCCATGGGTCAATCTATGAGATGACCACAATATTCAGTCATCGAGTGAGAGGGGATGTTTGACGCTTTACGACGTCAAGTAAAAAATGCGAGCCATTTCCAGGGAAATAGTAGGCTGTAATCCTGAAAAAGTATCGTCGCGAAAATAAATTTGGCGTAACCTTACCATGAAGCGACCGTCATGTCCAATAGCAGAGAAATGGAAGGTACTTCTTTAAGCATGCCCCTGACAGGATTATCCTTTTGTGACAAAATCAGTCACCTCCAACTCCACAGTAATGTTGACAATCTTGGGCATTTAGGAAATTATTGCTGTT